AGTAACTAGTCACTTACTTTATCTTTTAAATGTATCTTGCATATAGAAGTTAAGCAGAGAAGATTAAAGCTGCAGCCAATATCAATATGCACAATTTCCAATTAAGATTACATTTAATTTATGCATTATCATAGTTGTTGCATAAATAGAATTCCTTAATAACACTTAGTGGGACTTCAACAGGAACTTCAGAAGGATATGTAGCTTCTCTCCCATACATTAAATGGAATGGTGTGTATTTGGTTGTGGTGTGAACCTTGGACCTCAAAGAAAACAGTGTAGCATCCAGATACACATCCCAGTCATTCTGTTGACTAATTTTCTCAGGGGCTCTACATGTGGACATAAAAAAAACACAATAGTGACAGTGTCTTAAAAGCAAATGAAATGTTACATACAAATAAAACACACCTTTTTATGTTGTCATTTGTCTTTTCATCTAGGCCATTTGTCTGAGGGTGATACGCTGCTGTGACACTTCTTTCTATTTTCATTAAGCTGCAAAGTCTTGAGTTGAGCTTCAAAGAAAAAAGAAAGTTGTTTTTTTTAAAAAACAATCACAGAAAACCTTTGGCCTGGCAGCTACTTGGCACACTGTGGCCAAGTATTTACCTAAAGAGGTATGGAAAAGTAAACGTAACACTTACCTCTTTAACAAATTCTCTTCCTTGGTCGGATAAAATTCGTTTTGGGCAGCCATGTCTATATATGATTGAGCACAACTGATGAGCTACCTCAGCAGCACTTTTGCTTTTTAATGGAAAAGCCTCGACCCATTTTGAAAAATAGTCTGTTGCAGTCATAATGTACTGGAAGCCACTAGACGTTTTTGGAAGAGGTGCAGTTTGATCTATTCCGATTAGCTCCCAGACATGTGACACCTGTCAATGATAAAAGAATCACATTAATACATAATGTACATGATAACATTACTATTTTCTACTAAAATGCTACTGATATTTACCTTTACACACTGCAGTGGTTGCACAGCAGCCAATGGTTTTCCCATTTTTTGACACTGGTCACAAGCCAGGACCTTAAACATATTGAACGATCTTTATATTATCCAACAATCGCAATTAATTAAACAACAAAATTGCAAATGTTCTATAAAAAATACTTGATCAAGTGGTGAAACAGTGTTAATTACTGTACATCATCCTGAAATCTGGTACGTTTCTTCAGGATAACTATGCGTTCTATTGGTGCACTATTAACTAGGGGTGCAACGATACTCGTATTGATATTGAACCGTTCGATACAGTGCTTTCGGTTCGGTACGCATATGTATCGAACAATACAACATTTTTAATTTATTTTATCAACTTTCCTTCTGACAATGCTGTCTG